CAATAAATAAGTTATTGGGGGAAAATGTATTGTGATAAGCAAGGTGCATAGAGACCTGGGTTCTAGAAATAGTTCAACTACTAATTAGTATTGTGACTTTCAGGAGATCATTGAACCTTTCTCAACCTCTTAAACAGACTATTGTCCATCCTACCAACTTCCTGGGTTATGAGAACAAAAAAGAGTCACGCACGTGAAAGCAGCTTGAACAATTTAATTCTCTACACAGATGACTTTCTTTTAAAATATATTTTTATTGATTTAAGAGAGGAAAGGCGAAGGAGAGAGCCATAGAAACATTGATGAGAGAGAATCACTTATTGGCTGCCTCCTGCATGCCCCACACTGTGGATGGAGCTCATAACCCAGGTATGTGCCCTGACCGGGAATCGATCCATGACTTCCTGGTCCATACATCAATGCTCAACCACCGAGCCACACCGGCCGGGCACGTTGGTGTTTCTGTTCCAGGCCAGCCTTTACCCAACTAGCCTCTGTGACCCTCTGCAGCTGGGCAAGGCAGTCGCCACCCTCAGAAAGGGGCTGAGCTGGGCCACACGGAGGCCAGGGGGTGCCCACTACCACTGTCCGGGCTCGGGCCAGATGTGGGGGCACTGGAATCAGGATGTTGGGGTGCAGCACTGACACAGGTGGGAGAGACCCCCTCAGTGGGTGGTGGGGCGGGGAGCTCAGGGACAGCATCCCAGGCGCGGGGCCTGTCCGTAGCGCCCAAAGGCTGCCCAACGCCCTCTGAGCACGCCTGCTCTGCTCCTAGGTGTTCTGGGTGGGACCGTTCATCGGGGCCGCGCTCGCCGTGGTCATCTACGACTTCATCCTGGCCCCGCGCAGCAGCGACCTCACAGACCGCATGAAGGTGTGCACCAGCGGCCAGGTGGAGGAGTACGACCTGGATGGCGAAGACATCCACTCCAGGGTGGAGATGAAGCCCAAGTAGAGGGCCTGGCCCCGCGCACTCACCTGGGGACCGGGGCAGGGGCGGGCGGAGGGCGGGGTGGGTGAAACCCATATTGTAGACACTCTGACGAGCTGGCCAACGTTTCTTGCCAAAGACCCGCGGGACTTGCGTGGCCAAGCCTGATTTGGGCTGTTTCTATCACTTTCTTCCTCTTTCTCTCTTTCCTGGCCTTGGGGCTTCCTGGAGACCAAGACTCCCCACTCGTCCACTCCCTTGAGGTCACAGAGGAGGTGAAAGAGAGGGACCCACCCTCAGAGTGTGACAGGAGGTGTGCCAGAAAGCCCCTCACCCCACGACAGCTCACCAGCTCACCTGCCGCACGTGCCTGGGCTCCGCTGTCATCATGTGTTTTTTTGTGCCTTTGGGCGTGG